GGGACACATAGAGACAAACGAGACAAACAAACATTCACTCTCTCACTCACACCTAGGGACAGTTTAGAGTTACCAATCAGACTAACATGCATGTTTTTGGACTGTGGGAGGAAACCGGAGTACCCAGAGAAAACCCACACATGCACAGAGAGAACATGCAAACTCCACCCAGAAAGGCCCCTGGACCGGGGTTTGAACCAGGGACCTGCTCGCTGAGAGGCAACAGCTCTACCAGTTGCGTCACCGTGCTGCCCGACAGTCAACCAATTTACCTAAATAATCCAGAGTTGTGACTTTAGATAATGGTAGCATAATAAAAAAATCAATGTAGACATGTTTTTAGTATTTTACCAGTTTCATAATGTACTTTGTTTATTATTTTGTTTGACATCACTGCTTTAATTTAATTTTCATTGTATATGCTTTTTATGATGTGTGTACCTTATCTGTGGGTTTTTTGTTTAAAACAGGTCCCTCTTGAAAATGAGTCATCGTGACTCAATGAGACTAACCTGTATAAATAAAGGTTAAATGAGTAATCAGGCAGTGTAGCTGATGAAAAAAATGTAACAAGAACAAATCTTACATAGGGATCTCAGATGAGAACGTGTTCTCATTATATTATTTTTCCACCTTAGCTGCCACAAAAAGTGGTGATATTGTATCTGTGTGTCTGTAGCATCAGCAAAATATGTCATGAAACTGTGATGAATGGTCATTGAATTTACATTTTCATATGATAACTAAGAGTAAATCCCATCTAAGATAGCTGCTAAAAGTGAGCAACTTTATCAAACAGGAAAATGGCTAGAATTCAGCCAATTTGACAAATATTGAGAGAAAAAAACTGTGTGGTGGTAGCAATGGTAGTAGCAGTGCTCAGTGTCGCGGTCTTGCAATCCTGGGGTTCCGAATTCAAGCTCAGGTTGTGCCAAGAAAGATATTCGGTGTACAAAAAAAAAACTATTGCTGAATCGTTCATGCAAGTTCGCCCACGTTGCTGAAGAAGGAAGTAGCCGGAAGAAGTATCTGAGTAATTCACAACACAGACCTCAAGAGAACTTGCAATATCAAATAAGGTTGCACACATCATTTTACAAATTCTGACCAAAAATGTTTATAACCTACTCCAACAATTATCAGTCAGGTCATGGATTTTATACCTGGATTATTGAGCATGGACTTTGGTGTTTATAACCTACTCGTTCTCATAAGATGGTTTTAGTTTGATCTGGCCATAAAAGGCAGCAGGCAATTTGAATTTCTTTAAGGACTACTAGACTTTTAATTACCAGGATTACTGCACATTATATGCCCATCGACAAACTATTATACAGCAAGCTAAACCTTAGACCTTGAAGCTGGGGGGAGGAAAGTGCACAAGACACTGTCTAGTGATGATGCATATGTGTACTAAGTTTTGTTAAATTATCTTGAGCGGATCAAAATTTATGGCCCGGACAAGCAAAGACCATGTATAAAATTTGACCTTGATTTATCACCTTGACTTTGAAGCTTGGTTGACGAAAAGTACCCACGATACACTGTCTAGTGATGATGGACATGTGTATGAAGATTCATAAAATCATCTTGAACGGATCAGAAGTTATGGGCAGGACAAAAAAAAAAAAGTTTACAAATGTACAGAGACTAAAAAACGCATTGATTCAAAATGTTTAAGAACTTTTAAATAGAATATCACTTTATATGTGCTGTGTTTAACCACATCGCTGTATCTGTGAGGACAAAAAGTCAGAGGATAACTCTACAGAAACACCAGTGAAAGTGCCATTTTTGTAAAATAAATAAAAACAATAATTAGTGTTTGCAGTCCCAGCCGTTGCCAAACCGTAGCTGCTAGGTCACAACCATTAGTAGGACTGCCATCGCAAAACATAATATACAGCTGACAGCTGGCACATTAGCTGTGGTTTGATTGTGACCATATGGCCAGTGGTGAGGAGCTGCCATGACCCGAACCACCCCTGGTAGGATTCAAATGATCCGGTGTTCCTCAGAAAGCCAACACCTATGAAAACACGATGGTCCTGTAGTGACCATTACTGTAGCAGCCAAGCAGCTTATTAAAGTTTATCACAACAACATGTGGTTGCATTAGGACACCTTAATGAGGATTCTTTGTCCCCAGGAGAAATTCCTGGAATTGAAGATGCCATGTTTGACAGTACAGAGTCTCAGTGTGCTCTTCATTTAGCACACCACAAGAACATTACAGTTGTTCTAATCAATGCCACTTCAGTAGAGGGAGCTTTTCTCAAATTGATTTCAGTGTCATTTTTAAATATTACTAACAAGTTGTGAAATGATGAATTGTTCTTTTTTTGTGAGCTGAACGTTGGCTTAATTAACTTTTTCTTTAATTAAAACATATTATTAAAAGTAGTATGAATTAAAAAAAAAAGTGTTTGTTATTTTGTCCAACTCTGTAATGTGATTTTTTTCTATATATATTTTTTTTAAATCCTAATATTTTAAAACATCAACAGATATCTTACACATCAAAAAGTAATATTAAATTCTAAAATAAGCACATGAAATAAGAACTTAAACAAGGGGCCAGCATCACTGGAGTCTGCTCCGGTGTCACCGTCTCTCTCATGGGACTATTTCCTGGTGATATTAGAGATATGAAAATGTTTTATTCATGTGAGAAAACATATGCAGCTTACATGTTGTCTGGTATAAAAATATCACTGCATTGTTGCATAAGAAATAGTTGCCTGTGTGTCTTTGTATTTAAATCTTAATTAGTCATGTACTAATTAGTTGTACTGTGTAAAATGTGTCTCAGATGATACAGATTAGACATCTGAGTGTGAGGTGTACTCACTGGCCCTCATACCAAGGAATCTAAAATTACTTTGATCACAAGCAACTGAAGACTGTTGGGGGGGGGGGGGGGTGTTCCATAGTTATACTAAACACATTTTTTGATAATACTACATATAAGCAGTACTACTTTTTTTCCCCATAAGAGTAATAAAAATTAATAAAAACACACAATTCAATAAAAACACATATTGCACATTCCCACATACATTCCAGCAAGTAAACGACACAACAATGAAACAAGAGCATCAGCGCATAACAAAAAAACTATATTCATTCATTCATTCAACCTTTATTTAAACAGATAAGTCACATTGAGCCTCGAAGACTCATTTACAAGTGAGACCTGTTTGGACAGACAAAAACAGTGGTTAACTGGACACATGTAGGAGTATATACCTACTTTGTTTAACAATCTGATTGATGTTGGGACAAATGATTTTTTACATCTGTTAAATCTGCAAGCTGGGATTCTAAACCGTTTCCCAGATGGTAACAGCAGAACAGAACCATGCTGCTGAAAGAACCTCACTGTTAACCGAACCACACTCTAGCTGTATTTCTTTTTCACTGTTGGCGCCTGGTTTTTTGTATTTTTGCTGCATGCTTTAGTATTTCTTGTTTCTTTTTTGGCCAGTTGAGATGGTTCTTCTCGTCCTCAGCATTTCATTTCATTGTTGACCTTGTGATGATTTTTGCACAAGACAAATAAACCAAACCTGATGAAGGCTATACAATCACGCAGCTCAGAACAGAAGTCATACTTTAACTGAACTGCCAGCTGGTAATTTGTTTCAACTAATCCTTAACCTCTGTCTTGACTATTATTGTGGTACTATTCAAATGAAATGTTCTTTGTAAAATAAAGTCTCCTTGAATTGGAAAAAAAAGCATAATTTGCTATAAAAATTAACATCATCTGATTCTTGTAATGGCCAATAACAAACCCTGGAGCAAAAAGTGTGAACCATCAAACTGTGCTGGTAAATTAGACTTAAAATAAGCATGTTCATTTGACTGAATGTCAGTAAATCTTTCTAAAAGACAGAACAAAGCAAAAGGAAAGTTTTTTTGTTTTTTTTTCAGTCTAAGGCGCCAGCCTACGTAGAGGTAACACTGTGTATAGCAGTGTGCTTCAACCATTTCTTTCAACCATGGCACATTTTTTTACACCCTAAAAATTACCGCTGCACACCAACAAGCAAACAAATGACTAAATGACAGTGCATCCTAAGAAAGCACATATAATGACAATATAAATTCTGAATCTACTCAGTGTGGAACCTGGGCCTGTTTACTGTAGATGAATACAAATCTGATAGCCTGCCCTGAATTAAAGAAAGGCAACAGCTCTGTCACTATTTGCTTTATTTATTTATTATTTTTATGGCAATTGTCATTCAAAAGTTCAGCTCATGTAGATATATGTTGTGGAAAATGGAAGCAATGTCAAACTGTCTGTGAGAATTAACGGCAGTCATCCAAAAACTGTCCAAAATCAGACCAGCAAAGCTCATCGTTAAACCCCGGTTTTGCCTCAGTTCAGTGTCTGCTACGTCATGTCCTTTTTAATGACTGCTGCTGAGCTCTATCATTTCCTAACTCAGAATTCTGTCTAGGCTTCAATTCACCACCATCATCCCCAACATCTTCCTCTTATTATCCTACTTACTGCCACCTGCTGGCAAGGAACTTATTTTAAATGACCGCTAACACATTGCAGGTACAGATGCTCTAATGGCAAATCCTTTGCAGTGACTCTTTCTTTGACCAATTAGGAGAAATCGGACAATTTCCAACGACACACCTCTCTGTGGCAAATTGGTTGAAATTCACTGGTATATAGCACGTCGATAATCATGATAAGTAGCTGAAAGTCATACAAATCACAGTTCTCAGTAGTAAATGCAGTAAGAAAGCAAGAACCTGATTAAAGCTACACATTCTGCCTCCAGTCATGTAGACCAAAAAGACTACGCTTTATGATGAAAAGCCTAAAGGCAGAATGTCACTTTGTATTTTCAGAAGAATTTTTCAAGCCTGAGCTGTTGTGGACAACGAATAAGAAGTTAGATCACAAGAAGGCTGAGGACAGAATTCATTAAACAAGAAGAGCATCGGAAATGTAGAAACAGACTATCTGTGCTCACCTTTTACAATGAGGTTGAGGAGCTTTGGCCGTAGGTTCCGATCACTCTGAATTGAGCATGTGTACTGGCCGTCATCACTTATGTCCACTTTCTGTATCTGAAGGCTGTACTCATGTTTGTCTCCAACACTGGACACTATAGAAACACGAGGGTCCCCAGACCACTTGTCGTTCCCTGCGAATATGATGCCTGAGCGATTCAGCCAGGCTCCTTTAGAGATCCCATCCAACAGGTAACACCTAAACAAGACATATGTGGTTACTTTGCTTGGAAAAAATAAAATACTCATTGTTATTTAAGAAGAACAAAAGAAAATATTGTTCCATGTTTGCAATATAAATGGAGCTGCATCCATAAAACTGTCTAAAATATCTTTATCTTGCAAATGACTTATCTCTCGCTGTGGATGACAGTTATCAATCTGTGCAGTTACATACAAATGATGTGAGGGATTGGACTTCAGTAAAGACTTGCAGTTATTTCACTGAGCACAAAGCATTAAGCTCACATTTGCAGCAATTACATTTAATAACGTTCCGCCAACAGAGGTAGTGGAGTGGAACGGAGGAAGAATGCATAGAAACACTGTGGTACAGACTGACTTCAGTCTGCAAGAGTACTTGTGATGTGCCTGCCTTCAGTATACGGCTCCCAGCTCCCACTGCTGTTACAGCCTCTCTCTGAAACAAACACGTTTTATTCCTATGACCTGAGCATTCCAGATTTGATAATATGCTTTATTTTATGATTGTCTACTGTTGTCATCATTCTTTGTTAAAAACAGGTCTATGTTGTAAATGAATCCTCGAGGCTCAATGAGACTAACCTGTATAAATAAAGGTTGAACGAATGAAGATTCACATTTCTCAGCCTATACAGTCTTGGACTTCCTTTAGTTAACGTCAAATTTATGTCAGTACTCTATCCTTAATCTAGTACATGGTTGTGATCCGACTGCTTTTGTTCTGTAAAGTTGTCAGTGTTTTGGAAGTGTTCTACGTTCCTACAATTAAAGTCCCAAGTTCCACTTTCACACTGTCTCCTGTGCGCTCTCTCCTGCATTTCAGCCCTTTTCCAAACATCTCACTTTTGACAAACGGTGCCCAAGACTATTGTGGAAACACTAAAAATTGTTCAAGAAAGCGTGCAAAGTTATACACAAGTTTAGGCAAAAAAAAAAGAAAAGTAAAAGCAACAGTTATTGAGTGTAAAAAGACTATGAGAGGAGGGTAACTACAGATTACGCAGCTGCACAGAAAAATCCTAAGATTGGTTGGTAATATGTAGCAATATATTGGTTTTAGTTGAAGCCATGAATAGTTCTCCGCCCGATAGTTGTTTCTGATATGAAGCAGAGGACAATTCCCCAATTTAAAAAACAAAACAAAACAATAGCTTCATGTTTTGACACATGGGAGATCAATAATTCAATGTTTAATCTAAAGCACAGTCTAATAAGCCCATCACTATATGTATTCTTGTTACCATAGTTTTATTACGATTAAATGAATTTAAAAAGCATAAGGAAATAAATGTGCACTGATATACATTTTTTTATTAATGAAAACATGCATAAACATACATGTATCACTCTTCAGAACATGAACATTCACACCAATGACTTATTACAAACATGTCAATATATATAGTGAACAGATAAACTTTCCAAAATATTCATTTTAGTTAATCATGGGTCTAAACATAGATAGGAAGCAAACCAATGTTGAAGAATGAAGTTTGTACGTTATATTAGTTTTATCAGTTTTTTTTTTTTTAATCTAAAATGCATCGTGCCACCATTAGCATGAGGTATTCAAGGCTGCTGCTTCTTTCAGTAGCTGCTGATTTGTATATTAAAGTTGTGTGCTGAAACTTGAATTCTGAATATCCTTGGTTGCTCCTCGGACTTTTTATTCCTTTCAAGCATTTTACAAATTGAGATGTTTCTTTCAGTTTCACTGAGATCGATTCTCAGGTCAAAGACGGGAGGATGGAGAGGAAATTACATTTGGACAATGTAGACTTTTATTCTCATGGTTGCAGTTACAGTAGATGTTGCAAGTCTTTATGTCTAAAAGGATCTATAAAACTGTGTAAAAACCCTTAGCAAACCATAACTATGTTGTCCGACGTCAGAATGTGCTTCTGAGACAATTATTATTATAATTATTTACCAAATAGAGAATTTGATAAAATCCAAGGGTTTTTTGTTTTGTTTTGTTTTTTTACACAGGTGCCTCATTTCTGGAAGTACTTGCCTCAACTTCATATTTAATATTGTCCAAATAGTATTATTAATACCACTTCCCACAACTTCTAAACTGATATTTACGTATCAAATCAAAGCAATATAATTGTTTATATATTCAGCTACAGAAAGACAAACTTCAGGGAGAAGCAAAAATCACACGCCCACCACAACAAATTAATGAATAATCTTCACTTTATACTCTTGTCTTTTTTAGAAGCCAACTACCCCGTGTGACTGCTAAAACTGCAAATTTATTTTTTAAGAATGTCTCTAAACAAACAAGAGAGGTCATAAAGTTCAGATGGCAATTATTTTGCTTAAAATTCCAGCAGCATCTAAAAATAATGCATCATATTCTGTGACAAATGCAGCGAAAATGAGTAGTAAAAGAGGCAATCAAGTTTGGCTCTTTAGCTGATGTCAACGTACTATACTGACTGCCAGCACCGGTGGAAAAGTCACCAAGGAAATCAGTTTGGCACCAACCACAAAGCTCTTTACTCCCCATGCCAAGGAAGTGTCTGTCAGGAAGGCGGATGGAGGACAATTTTCTATCATGCTGAGTTACCCTGGAGGAAATGTTCTCAAAGAACTGTGACAACCAGTGAAGAATAGAAAGTCATATATATATATATATATATATATATATATATATATATA